CTTCTTCCGGGCTTGATTTTTGGGGAGGGTCGTCAATTGGGACGCTTGTGTAAAGATAGAAATGTTTTCACGTTTTCAAGTGATTGGGGTTGCCAAGCGGCAGAAGCATCTTCAGGGGATAGTATGAGCCCCGATTGGTCCATGAGTTCACTTGCTTTTGCCAGAGACCAAGAACACCCAGCCAAGGTGTTCATCACCACTGAATCCTGGAGCGCATGCACGGCAAGGCGATTTGACCCTTGGCCCTGGACTAAACCAAACGGGTCACTCAAATCAAAGAAGATATAAAAGGACTGTTTTTCTGGAAGAGAATCAGTTTGGATCGCAAGCTTGCCGATCTTTGCAGCTATCCACCAACACATCTGTTTGACGTGGCTCGCTTTGAAACGGCTGTTGAGTTCACAGTAGTCATCCTCAAACGACGTGTTTGCCACAGTGAACGCCCTCTTCGGGACATAGATCCTTTCATGTGTTCCAAACCATTACACATCATGAACGACACCTTGTCAGGGATGGTGGGTTGATTGGGAAAAGGACAACGACAATACATGAAAGCTACTGATTTTGAGGCGTGTTTCCGTTCGGCTTTGCAATCCGCTTTCATCTCCATGGATGTTCTCTTCAGAAACTGTGAAGCTGACTCTCCAACTTCATAGTGGTAGCCCAAAGTATGTAGTATTTTGAGACATGAAGGGACATGGTTTCTGGCCACACCAAGAAATATGAGGTGTAAAACATCCCACGAACAGCTCTCTATTTGAAAGCCACGGATAGCACACCAGGGTGACAAACGCCTCGCGGTGCGTAGATACTCTTGATGGGGGACTGTGTGTCTTTTGTACGGCGCATCTCGAGACATATTCTTGTAATTCAAAGGGTTGTCAACATCTCCTGGCCCTCTCGGCTGTATCGCACTGCACCGGTCGCACATCTTTTTACAAAGATAATATTTCTCAAACAAGTGGCACTCCTTGCGCGCCTTCAAGTCTGCTTTGTGATTGAAGTAGCACAACCTTGTTTGGAAACTAACCACAAAGCCCTTCAGCAACCCATGCTACGTACTACATACTACATAAAAAACAGAATCTCAGCAAATGGACTATCAACATGTACTTCTTGCGATCCATGTTTCTTGAACCCTCCAGCTAGCTCCTTGCCAGCCATAGCTGCCCGGTAAGTTCCCTTCTCAAAAGCTTCGCCCTTGAATCCCTGGGTCGGAGCCTTGCCTGCAAACGCATGCTCCAGAGACCACGCCACCAGATCAGCCACAAGCTTGTTCACACCCTCTCGAACCTGGCGTTGCAGCGAAAAAAGGATAACATCACCAACCTTGGGATTTGTCTTGATGACAAATGAAAACAAAACAGAAAAAAGGGACACAAGGGTACTGTTCAGATAAAGCTCTTCATCCTCTAGCATGAATCCTTCTGCCACGACAACTATCGGAAACTTGGTGACTAGGATGTCTTTGATCATTCCGCCAGCTGAGAACGCAGAACTCCAACTTGTAGCTAAAAATTCCTGGTCTGAATAGAACTCGCAGCCATCCACATGGATGGAGAACGGGATCGTTCTCCTGAGCTCCTCCTCCGACAAGGAGTGCAAAGGCTCATGAAGTTGGTAGGCGGACAGGCGTTTGATGTGCTTCCAAAAGTTGAGAATCGACCCACCAGTGTGATTTCCACACATGATGGAATGAAACTGCCAGGGTTGAGATGGGCCAAACACAAAAAGTAATTTCACACGCAGCCCCAGGTTCAGAGTCTAGAGTTAAAAAGAACGTTCAATGGGTCTTGCCTGGTGTTTCCCACTCTGGTGGATAGCGGCAAAAACTTCATGAGGGAGCAGCACACTTGCCTCTGCAAGCACCGGTTCATCCTGGTCGGGCACCTGAAGAGCATCAGGAAGGGTGACAACACAAATACAGGGAACGCCTAAGGTCTACAGGAACTGAAAAGTCGACGCAAAATTTACTACCAGCAAAGTTCAAGGCACGTGTAAAGTCATCTCTACACTGTATGGTTCCAGTTTCAATCCATAACATCCCCTAGTCCATCTCATTAGGTCCCTCTCCGTGTTGGCATTGTTTTTCCCAGAAGTGCCACAACTTGCAAACACATCAAGAGACTTTGGCAAATCATTCGGCTGGTCAGCCCTCACAGCCCTTGCAATTTCAGCTGCTGTTTCTACATGCGTGGACCCACGACCTACCAGGTCTAAGAGCTTGTCGACAGTTGCGCTCCGAGCGCAGTCATCGAAGGCCGGCTTCTTCCTCTTGTTCACCGATCCACCTGTCAGCGCATTTGCGGCAGAACACCAATCGACAGAAATCATCCGCGCCAAACTGCGACCCTGCACTCATGGCATGTGAACAGGTCTTCGCGCCGTTTTTCATGTCTCACAGATCCTAACGCACGCGTTTCAGCGTGCAGGCCCCAAGTTCGCAATCGCCTCAAGAGCTGAGAGGGATTGGCTAGCCGCGAAAATGAAAATTCTACTTCTTCTCCTTTTTTGTCTTTTCTTTCTTGCCCTTGCTGCCCTTCCTTCCAATGATCCCATTCGCAGAAGCCAAAGCTTTTTCCCACCACTTCGACTTCTTCTCAACTTCGGCAGTCACGGCCAAGATCAACTTGTCCTCCTTCTCCTCCTTCGACACCATGCTGTGAAGTGTCTTCCACAGCTTTTCCATTGCGGTCGCATGCTCCAGAAGCTGCTTGGAAAGTTCTTGGCCAAATTCAACTCCAGTAAGTTGCAGTGACTTCGCTCGCGCCTTGCTCACCTGATCCAAACACGCTGCCATCTTCTCACTTGCAAAGTCTAGCGGAGTCTTTGCCTTGATCTCCTCTGCCTCCGGTTTCTTTTCCTTCCGTTTTGGAGCTTTGATGATTGCTCTTGATTCATCATCCAAAGCTTGGCGCAAAGCCTTGGCGCCTGCTTCCGTGGCTGTCTTCAGTTGTGGAAGGGCGCCAGATGCCATCACCGCGTCGTCTGCAGTCAAAGCCTTGACCATGTCTTCGTCCAAGCTTTTGCTCCTGGCTTCCATCGTCATGCGCTCAAAGGTGGCATCGTCTTGACGAACAACCCTGCCGTTGGGCATATACACCCAATTCTCCTGCAAGGTGTCAGGCTGTAAGTTGTAAAGCTCTTTAAAAAGGAAGTAAGGTCATGAAACGCCGCAACATATTGGAAGGAGTGTTGTTGGTTTGACAGTTTAA